TTAAAATAGGAGAATCTACAATTGACATGAGATAAATGAGTGAATAAACAAATTCAAACATACAGGTGATGAATTATAGATTTTAATGATAGAGAATAGAAGAAAAAAGACAGGGAGTTCTTTTTTAAGATCATTTCGTCTTTTTTTTTTTTTTTATTTGATAGGACGGCAACTAATGTTGCTGTTCTGATGTTAGCTGAACACTCAAACAATGCATGAATTCTGTGTTGCAACTCAAAGCCAAAATGATGGATCCAGAAAACTGTTACTGCAGTTCACTGATCACCAGAATGCTGATGACGCTGAACAATGATAGTGCTCATTTTTTGATCTTTATCAACATCAGAATAAATCGTCTCCTCTCCCTTTTTTTTTTTCCTGCCGGGATAGATTTTTTCTGTCGCTTTCAGGGCTTTAGTAAAAAGGCAACAAAAAATAACAAGAACAACAACAACAAAAAATCATTTAAATTTAAACAACCTTAATTATTAACTAACTCAGCTTTCTACTTAACCGAAAAAAGGCGGTACATAAAGAGGCACTGAAAAAAGAGAGAAAAAAAGCATAAATAAATAAAGTTACCAAAATTTTTTTTTTGACCCACTGATAAAAATTTGAAGAAAAAACATCTTATTTTAATAGTTCAAAAAAAAAAAAATTTAAGCTGTATAAAATAAAAGTTAGCAACAATGAACGTGTAGCAAGAAAAAGAAAGATTAGAAATAAAAATTTAACTTACAGATTGCATTCGACTCCGATAGGATGCACCGGGCGAATATCGTCCAGAGGTTGCTGTTGAGATGCCAGTAACTGAATTTGCACTTAAACCCGAACTTGCAGCAATACCCGTCGTTGAAATCTGATTTAAATTTGGGAACAAGCGTTGAGATGCTTGCATCCTCTTTTTTTCCTTTTATTATTTCAGTACAGATTCTGGATAACCAACTGTGGGTGGAGGGCTAAATAAAGTAAATAGATTCTGACGGCTAAATAATTGATTCTGAAGGAATTAGAGGCGCTGTTTTTGGCGAAGGAAGCAGAAAAAGGCTTTCAACAACAAACTATCGTCCTCCTTAAATCGAACAACAACATTTGTCTCCACAAAGCTTTCTCTCTGCTGGCTTGTCACCTGCACCCATTGCTTTCCCAGTTCAGCTTAATTGTTTTCCCCGCTACCGTAATTAGTTTGCCTCTACCGCCAAAGCTCCGCCTAGCCGGCTGTTGCCAATTGGTTGCCTCCTGTGTGAGTCTCGAACACACATACAAACACACACTCACAGACAGATACATATTTGTCTCCCCGTATGCCGACACCAAACAACAACAGCACAGCAGCGGCGGCAGCGGCAGCAACAGCAACAACAACAACAGCAGTAGCGGTAGCAGTAACGGCCTGCCTACACCGTTACACAAACAGATCGCCGGACTCTCACGCTGTTTTTTCATTAAACAATATTATTACCCCAACAATAAGAAGGTTTTTTTTCTCTCTCTTTCTTTCCTTTAACAGAACTGGTCATTTTATGCTGCCCTAATCAACCGGACATAGACTTCTTTCTCCCCATTGTATAATACTGGACTCAAAATTTGGACGGAAAATTTTGAGAGTTGATCGGGCTAGCTAAACCAAAACCGGCATTAGTACCTGTGCAATAATTGTTAATAACGGAACATTTGGACTGTTGCTTGTAACGGAAATACTTGATTATTGTTGACTTTCTTATTGTTCACGGTATTGTTATAATTAGTGTCCCTGTTATTATTATTGGTAGTATTGTTGCTGTTGTATGTAGTATCGTATTTTTATTATTTTCTTTTTTCAACTCTTCTTATTATTAATACGGATTTTAATTGTGACACGGTAACAGTTGATCAGAGCTATTTCATGACGATATGAACAATTAAGCGACTTTGTTAATCCCTATCGTGTCAGTGTCACCATCGTCTTTATCATAAAATTAAAAAATTCACATTTTTACTGTTTTTTGATATTTCGTAGCCAAATTAGTTGCAGAAGATTATACAACCATCATTTTTTCAGCATATGAACTTCTTCGACATAATCTTTCTGCTTTTTACTTTTTTAACGCAAAGTTAACCTCGGAAATTGATCAGTTTTAATCAACCCTCCAGATTTTTGCTTGTTTGCATTATTCTCAACTACATTTCAAATCTATTATTTTTTGCTTCATTTTCTAAATAAATAAATTAGGTATAGAATATTTGCAGTGGACAGTTTGCATGGTTAAAATATTCAAATGAAAACGGGTAAGGAATTGAGGGTGGCATAACAATAGGTCTGCCAAACAATTTCTCTGGAAAAAGAGGCGTCAAATGGTGGCCGGCTGTTTAAGCCGTCTACGATGCTCTTACTGTAAATTCTTATCGACAGTAACAGCAAACAACGACAAATTTTTAACTTTTATCAGTTGTCCTTCTTGTTCTTTTTCACCCAATAAAACAGTTACTGAACTGAGAAGAAAATAGAAACTTCCTTTTCCTTTTTCTTTCGCTATCTCTCTCATCTTTTCTCTTTTCCCCCTCTATTCATCATTCTTCTCTTTCTATAGCCGAGAAAAACGATAGCACAAGATTACTCATTGATACATGATTCAGCAGCAGCAGCAAAATATGGTCAAAACTGTTGTTTGGGAAGTTAGTTAGCTGCTTGTCTCAAGACGAAGGCTGCTGGAAAGGAAACGCGCACATTGTTTGTAGCTGTTGACAAACAACGACAACAACACAGCACAACAAAACTGCAACAGTGACAGCAATGACACTGGATTTCCATGGTTTGCATAAGGTGTTTGTATGTATCCGTAGGTAATTGATACAAAGTAATCAACTGCTGCTATCGCTGCTGCTGAAGCTCTAACAGCCTTTGTTCGGCTTGAGCTTCTAAATGTTTATATATATATATATATTTTAATTTATTTAATATATATATTTTTGAATATTTTTATATATATTTTAATATATAT